ACCTTACAACACCAACCCAGCGCACTCAACCGCAAGGTGGATCTCTTATCTCGATGAGCGGATCACGATCAGGGCAAGAACAACAACAAGGATGTCACTCTGCTGAAGCCCGAGTTCTTCTGATCACAAGAAGTCACATTCAAAGGGCAAGATCAGCAGCTGATTGATGAGATCAAGGCCATTTGATCAATTGATGAAAGCATCAAAGCGGCCTTGGAAAAGTCACTTGTCAGATGGAAAAAGGAAGCTGGGCTCATCACGTATCATGGGAAGCTCTATGTACCAAGGGACGAGGAGCTACGGGACAAGATCATCGGGCTACACCATGGCACGCCTTTGGTTGGGCACGCTGGGATCAACCAAACACAGGAAATGGTGGAAAGGAACTACTGGTGGCCTAGGATGGGAAACCAAATTTGGAAATACATCCAGACATGCGAGGCATGCCAACAGACCAAGACCAGGAGAGCAAGGATGGGGACCTTGCATCCACATGCGGTTCCAAACACACCATGGGAAATCATCTTGATGGATCAGATTGGACCCCTACCGGTCAGCAACAGGTATAATGTGATCCATGTGTGGTGTGACACCTTCACAAAAATGATCCACGTTGAACCCATTAGTACTGACATCAGCAGCAAAGGAGTAGCACAGTTGACCAGGGACCAAGTCTTCCGCTATCATGGGATCCCTCGCAAGATCATCACCAACAGGGACTCACGATACATCAAAGGCTTCATGAAGGAGATGAATTGGATGTTGGGTGTGGAAATGAATCCAGGGACTGCATATCACCCAATCATGGATGGACAGACAGAGTGTATGAATCAGGAGATCAAGCACTATCTCTGCATTTATGTCAACTACCATCAGATGGACTGGTTGGAGTGGCTGGGAATGGCAGAGTTTGCATATAACAACAAAATGAACATGTCTACCAAAATATCACCATTCTATGTGAATCACAGATACCACCCATGGAAGGGAGTGGAGCAGTGGATGGAATCGAGAAACAAGTCAGCAGAAGAATTTTCAAAAAGGATCAAAGAAATACAAGATGAAGCAAAAGCAGCACTAGAAAAAGCAAATGAAAAAATGAAAAAATAATACGATAAACAAAGAAAAGAAGTTCCGGAGTTGAAGGTTGGGATGAAGGTGTACATAGAAGGGGACAATATCAAGACAAACAGGCCTTCGAAGAAGATGAGTGACAAGAGATTGGGGCCATATGAGATTTTGGAGAAGGTTGGAGTGGCCACATGGAAGTTGGATCTGCTGGATACAGACCAAAGACACCCGGTGTTCAATGAGTCATTGTTGACACCCTATCACAAACCACCCCCCCATTGCCAAGAGAAGAGACCCGTAGCCAAGATGATCAGAGGAGCAGAAGAGTGGGAAGTCAAAGAAATTGTGAAGGAACAGAACATTGGCTGAGGGAAGCAGTACTTGGTCAAATGGAAGGGATGGCTGCATAGCAAGAATACCTGGGAACCATCACGTCATTTTACCCATGCAAAGAAGGTCCTGAGAGCCTGGCAGAGGAAACAATCCAACCCAGACACACACATTCGCCTCTTGCCGACACTCGAAGCTGGACATTGGGACTATCTCATTCACCACTACAAACCCAAAGACGAGCGCCTCCCATATCACCAACAACAACTGTTTGACCCTTATGAAAATGTCTTCATGCCCGTTGGCCCAGTTGATGAGGACATCAACCCTAGGGAGGGGGTAATGTCATAATTTGACCCTTTTTCATCTTATATTGACAATCTTATCTTATCTCGGCACAAGTTATCTTATCGTGGATCACGGCATCTGACGGTCCGGGCTAGGGGTCTGGGGGATTATCTTTATCGATTCAAGGCTGTGTGACATATGCTCCAGAAGGTTCTACTACAACCCATGACCAGTGCTCCATGCGGTACATAGCCTTATAACTCATTAGTTGTAGATATGACTCAGACTGGATTTGGGTATAAATACTGTAGCTACTAGGTTGTATTCCCCAGTCTTCAAATTCACTTCTCTTTTTGACTTTATTTTGAGTTGATTGTCACAATGGTAACACTGTCACCTGTTGTGTCAGTCAGTGCTGGTCTGTTTACATTGTCAAAATGATTGCGAGCTTGTCACTCCTTCTTGTTTTCCACTTCTTCCCCAAATTTCTGCACCGCCGTTTCCTTTAACTGTAGATCCACTTCCTTCCCAAAGTTGACCAACAGGATCAATTCTCCTCCTTCCAGGTCTGGTTCACATGTGTCTGGGTCAACGGAGTCCATGTCAATCATTGCCTGGTGCTCCTTGTGACCCCTCATGTTGCACTGCTCTGAACATTGACTCAATTTTGTTATTTGTTCCTGCCAGTCCATCTCGGGGTTGTGCTGAATCAACCAATCAAGACCTATGAAGATCCAAGCTTTTTCCCAGACATATCAGAAGGGACATGCATGTTTCCACATGAGGACCAATCTTCATTCCCAGGCCAATATAGTGTGTGATCCGGCTGCTGATGTTCTTGGTGTTGTTGGTGCTACAGGCCATGATGGGTCTTGGAAGCTCCTGAATATCCAACCTTTCTGCCTGTGCTGTAAGGGCAACTCCTGCCAGCCCAAAGGAAGAGAGCACACAGCACACAACAACCTCACATGAGTCTGAGCACAGAGGGGGATCCTTAGAGAACAGTTCAAGGATCCATGTGCCCAGGTGTCACACTATATAGTCAGCTGTGACAAGTGACTGATGATGATAGGATATCACTGCCATGGAACAATGGCAGATGACAAGTAGATGATAACAAACCCAGATAAGATAGTGAGTGGCTCAGAGGGGCCAGTGATGGCCAGCTCCTGAGACACCAACAGTGGAAGGCCACACTGGAGGAGCCCAGTGGCCAGGCCAGTGCCGGGCCGGCCAGTGGAGACATCGGAGGCGAGGACCAATGCCCAACTGGGAAGAGGGGTGGTGCAGATAAGCACAAGGGCATCTGGTACGAGCCTATACGGCAGTAGACCACATCTGCAGGGAGAAGGCCAAAGTAGAGGGGGAGAAGTGCATACAGCAGTAGCACTCCCTGGTGCAAGGAATTGGGCTTGGCTAGACCGCTTGCGGGGATTTGAGGGAGATGGCCAGGAGAAGGAGGAAGAGGCGGATGTCGGCACGGATGGAGGTGGGGATCGGAGGAGGAGGAGGAGGTTGGGTGATTGACAGGTGAGCAGGCACGGGTCGGCAGAGAGGGCGCAGGGGGTCATGTGCATGGTCACGTGCCCAAGGAGCGCAGTGTCCCCCCTGACATGTGCATAGTCAGTGTTGATGCAACAGGTACTGCAATAACAACTCTGCCAACAGCCGTAAGGATGGGATGGTGATTCTAGCATAGTAGTAGTAGAGTATAGGATGTAAGGTGTCAGTAACAATAACCTCAGACCATGTGGCAGTGTTTGTGAAACACACATCTTCAAATGCAGTGACCAAAACTTTATTTTCTCATGAGTATCTACAATGATCTGCAACAATAGATGATCACATTACAATCTAGCGCAGTTATCTGTAGACGTAGAAATATCATGAGTCCTCAGTCGCACACAAGATGTGGTAAGACTGAGGGATGGAAAACAATCGAGAGCCACTGTATAGGCGATCGGGAAAAACGAACAGACCAAAACGTAAGATCGCTGAACTCCCATCAATAAGCGCCAACCGCGTCACGTGTCAACATTATCACTGCGGGGGGACTTATTTTTTTTCTGTGGAAAATGCGTGACAATCTAGAAGTCCGATTTTCACTGTTCTGTTTTCAGACAAAATATATATATTGAAAATAGACATCGATTTACAGCTCCATTTTTACCACAAATGGACATCTATTCCTCCCGAAAACAGAACTGTAAATAGATCATCTTTTTTTTAATCGATTCTCACTGGGAATAGACGTCGATTTTCACTGAAAATAGAAACAAAGAAAAGATGATCTTTTTTCACTGAAAACAGATTAAAACCACTCGAAGAATCTGTTGATTCTGGCCCCAATTTGCATCCCTGGCCTTGCAAAAGGCTACTGAATGCTACTCACAACATGTTGGAATCATGCTGCGGAATCATGCTGCAGGACTTGTGATGTGAGTTGGGGCTGGAATCAACAGATTCTTCGAGTGGTTTTAATCTGTTTTCAGTGAAAAAAGATCATCTTTTCTTTGTTTCTATTTTCAGTGAAAATCGACGTCTATTCCCAGTGAGAATCGATTAAAAAAAAGATGATCTATTTACAGTTCTGTTTTCGGGAGGAATAGATGTCCATTTGTGGTAAAAATGGAGCTGTAAATCGATGTCTATTTTCAATATATATATTTTGTCTGAAAACAGAACAGTGAAAATTGGACTTCTAGATTGTCACGCATTTTCCACGGAAAAAAAATAAGTCCCCCCGCAGTGTATGATACCATTGTGAATCCATTAAACAGAAACAACTGGCATTCAAATTACTTTTCCCTTGCAGCATCTCAATCACGCGCAAATCCTCCTCTTTCCCGATTTGGAACACTGCTTTCCCGATTCGGACCACCGCTTTCATTTTTCAATTCCTAGGCCATCTCCTGCCATCTCAGAATCCAAGATTTTCAACAAAACTTTGCCACGTTGCATCCAATGCGGGAAAAGTCGCCGAAAAGTCGGCAAAGTCCGATATTGGTCCATAGTCCGTCCCCGGTAGTTCGGCTGGGGTGTTTACATCTGCGGGCGTGTCCATATCGCCGACGTAGAACTGGGAGGGTTCCGCGACGCCGAAACTACGCATGTCTTCTGCGACCGTCGGGTGAATCGGCGAGGATTCGCTAGTCGTGGCCGCAGATAGTTCGGTGAACCCGGTCGAATGAGGTAATGGATGGGCTACCAGATGCGTTCGTCCGCTCAGACTATCCAGGTCGGCAGGTGTAACGATGCATACTTCTGGAGAAAAGATGTCCGAATTTCCGGCGACGGCTGTTTGCGCTTTTCGTTTGAGCATCATCACGGCTCCCTGCGTAGACATCAGCTCAGTGACAACACCACAGAACATGTGATGTTCGTTCTCACACTCATGGATTGTGCAAATCGACTGCTTGAAGCAGCATCCTGGAACAATTGTGACACGACCTCGAGCTCCTCCAAGGCCGACGCAGTCATCCTGGACGACGGCGCGCGGATTACCAACACACACAGGATGAGCTCCGGAAGGTGAGGACCCCCAAATGCCATAGGAGCGATAAACGACTCACCGCGGCTGAAAGCGCAGGAGACCAGGCACAACCGATACGAGCCACCGATGGTCCTTGATCTCTCCATGCCAGAGCAAGACTGCGAATGACCCGCCACGCAGAGCGATATGTTGCGATAACAGAGGGAATGTATTGGTGAGTGTCCAAGTCCCCGGGTTGGTCGTGCAGGGCCTGAGTGAAGTACGGCCGATGCAGATTCAGGAGAGCTTGTTAGACTTGAGCTGTACGGAATGCATGCAGAAAACTAAAGCCGCTTACAGCTCTCCTTGACAATTAAACACAGTAATTGGCTCATGAGCTTCGAACTTTCGACACCGGCAGGTGCGCCAAAAACCGTCTTCAGAGACGGCGGGACGTAGAAGTCGCGGATGCGGCGATCCAATGCCAGAATCGTAGCGTAGGGTTTACTATGGAGTGAAACCCCCATCACATCATGCAGAAGCAGGGAGTACTGAGAAGCCCAAGTCAAATCTGATGAGAGGTAAGGACGACTGATCCTTTCTCGGGCTCAGACGCACAGCTCATTTCCTTCTGTCCATCTTGCCCAACGACCTCATCCTGCGGATACGGACAATCGGTGAGCTCTACCGACATAGTGGGCGGTCGACCCAGGAAAAAACTCTTCCAACAGTATCATCATCAAGATAATAATCAGTCGTGGGAAAGTACGCACAATCCATGTTTCCTGGACAAAGAGTTGCCAGAATAACCTGTGACGTCGCTTAGCTTCCGGGTCCCACACGTTCCACCGCTTGCTGTTTAGATCTCGGAGTTATTCAGCGAGAAGTGGGAAATGATTGATGGATATCTCACGTAAACCAATCTTCGATAAAGGGTCAGCAGGGCACAGACGGAGGTTTAGGCGCCACACACCCCGTACGCGAGTCGCACCGCCGTCCCGATATGCAGCCAGCCCTGATTAGGGCCCGTACCCTCCCAATCGCTGAGCTCCAGGTATGATGAGAGATGAAGCTGTATCGCAAGATCGTAGGTAAACACGGAGTGTAAGGCCGCTTAGTGCTCTCACCAGGGCCTGAATAGCCGCCAATGACGCCTTTTTAAGAGGGGATATGATGCCGAGCACGGCCCGAGCCAGATGATAACACTCTCGGGCTCTGACGCTCCACGGATTCTTCTTGGTCGGGTCCAAGATGAGTGCAATAGCGAAGACACCAAAGAGCAGCGATAGATTGTGCGCGTCGCGCAGATGTTCGAAAGCTCTGAACTTGAGCATCAGCTTCAGAAGGAATAGATGCAATCGATGGATCTACCGCTCACCCTGCGCGGTACACTGTTTCCAAAACGTCGTCAATCAACTCTGTTCGAGGCAGCGAGATTGTTCTAGAAAAAGCTCGTCAGAGATGGCTCCACGTCCTCTCTCTCATGAGGCCAAAAGCTTACAAGTAGGCGGCGTGAGACACATACATCTCACATAATTGTATCGCTTCCGACAGGGGAGGGAGATAGCCGTATATTTCACGCCCGATGTCGATGTTCGTGCCGCTCGAGTCCGACAGCGAGAATTCCACGATACGCGGCGAAAGTCTCGGGGGAGGGGCAGGAGCGAGAGTGACGGATTTCGATAGAGCGCGTAAGAGATGCTGAAGGACAATCCAGTGCTCGAGGAAGGTACCAGGAGAGAAATGCACAAACATACCTCTGAGCGTGCTGTTTGACCCAGATAATTCGTCTCGCCATGCGGGCCGATCTCCAACATACCTGAGAAAGGATGAGAGCGAAGCCATGAAACATGGGTCACCAACGTACCGAATGCATCAACCAAGGCTTCATCTCCCTTAGAGGACATCATGGGATCTAAGCCCTCGTGGAATACACGTAAAGACGAACAGCGACCAGAGCTGGAGTCTGTCGTCGCAGAGGGGTTGGCAGGGGGTGGCAGATCGATCTTGATGTTCAGCTGGTCTTCTCGTAAAAGCGGATGTGGCTGAGTTGATACGGACTTCTGAAGCGTTTCAAGGGCGTTTTCGAGGTCGCGAATGCGGTTGCAGAGCGTCATGATGCGATTGTGCAATTCTTCCGTGTTCGCAAGGATTATGCTGAACGACATCAGGTTTGAGGTATGGACGAGGGTGGTGATGGGAGCAAGCTACCGATTTCCTTTTCCTGAGTTCTCGAGTTTGAAAAGCCGCACTCAAGGAAAGCATGATGGAGACGTACTGGAGGAGAGTTGGCCTGTAAAGCGCCACGTCGCTGAATACCTGAAACCGTGCATGCACAACAATGGAGGGACTGACCATCCGGGCACAAGGATTCGCAACCTCTGGAGTTCACTCCCGTTGAGCCGCAGACCCATCACATTCTGACAGGCTCATACCGAGAAACGCATTTGCCACAGGGGACCTATCGGACGGGTTCATTGCATCTCATCTTGGACGAGATTTCCTGACCCACAGATCTATCACAACGAAGTTTCAACCGTCGACATTCAGCGCATGAGGTTGGACTGAGCGTGCAGATTAACGGTCTCGTCCGTGGAGCCATTGAAAATGTCTGCACGCACACACGTCCCGGTCTCTTCTTCGGTCGCTCCTCTTGCCCCCCGTCCATTGGTTTCAAGTCCTCTTCGAGCGCTGCGGTATGAGGTATCGGAGAAAGGATGTCAGTGACAGCGGAAGGAGGAGACCGAGACCGAATCTTGATCATCATCCGGTTACACGGCACGCAATAAATGAGCTCGGCGTTGCATTCCCGAAGCCGCGATGGCTTCTCCGCGGCTTTCGCGTGGCTCCTGCAGGCCCGGTCACGTATACTTACGTTCCTCAGCAGCCTGACCCAGATTTACTTCAAATTCTTGCGCTCTCAGCCCAATTTGTACTCCATTTTCGGAGTGACCATTCATTTTGCGCTGGATAAGTTGGTCCAGAGGGACCAGATCTTTGTCCAGATATCCACATGATCAATTTCTGGAATGATTTTGCTGAATATTCGTCTTTCTTAGCCTAGATTGGCACTCGTAGTCGGAACCGTTCAGAAGGAAAATGTCAAAATGTCATATTTGGTCCCGTTCCTTGCTATTTCCTTGCTATTTAATTCCTTTGGCTTCGGTCTCAGAGGGCTCGAGATTCTCGCCCAGGCAGTCGCTGGCAACGCCAGCAATGGAGAGATCACTTGGCCCACGCCTCACACCGTCCATGTACGTGCTGACTCCGGCGGAAGACTCTGCGCCTCCTCACCAAATGAGCGGCTACGACTCTGTTCAGACCGTGGGAGGGATATAGAGACGCGCGGGACGGTTGATAGAGGATATTCTCAGTTATGTCTGCGGGTTCCGGCCCATCGAAGGATGCATCAAGGCTGTCTTGGACACCGCTCGTAGACAGTTCGGGCTCAGTTCAGTGCTGTGTAACATTGGGGTGCGCCTCTGCTCTCTGTCGTGGCTTTTGAACGAACGCGAGGAAAAAAAAAATTCCAGTTTCATTTTCTTCCTGCGTTCCAGGCCACACCTTGTTGAGATTATGGTCGAGGTCCTTCTAGGCTGCCAAACGCCCATTCCATTCTTCATTGTTCTTGTGGGGCCATGGCCTCTCTGCCAGAATATACTATCGATCGAATCCACGCCAGCAGTCGAGGACTGGTGTGCGATTTTGGGGTCGATCGGAAGGCGATCCTGGAGTGTGGCACAGTCGGCTGACTCATGGAAGCTACGAGTAGGTTTGCCCGTTTACACTCATGTTTCATATATATACTCATATTTCGCCCCAGCTGTCCGATCGGCATCAAGCTCTTTCAGGTGGGTACCCGCACAGGGCAAGTATGTCCTTCCGTTCTATAATTGACTGGTGCAGATCCGCACTGGGGAGCAACTAGGACCGTCACTACGCTCTGATGCGCCGAGCAAGACCACAGGCACAGCTGAGAAGGCAAGAATCGAATTCGAGTAGACTTTCAGTGCCATAAAAGGCGCGAGAGGGGAAAGACTCAAGGAAAACGCGATCTGCGTCGCTGACTTATGGCGGGAGGAGCGAGTTGATGGCGAGCCTGGGCGAGATATTGCGAAGCTCGTTGTATTTTGAAACAGCGAAAACTAGATAGATGCTGCTCGTGATAGATTGATTCAAAGTTGACACTAGAATACAATTTTCAAGTTGCCCCCATTCATGATATTGTTTGCCCATTCTAGCCCCAGGATGCAGTGGTTGGCTCAAGGCGAGTCAGAGCTCGACCCAGATGATTTCCCTATCTGGTGTCTCGAGCGAATGGCAGCTCGACTGAACCTCCCACGGTACCCCCAAGTGTTCAGTCGTCTGTGGCTGGTACCGGCTGACACCAGTGACTGTCGCCCATTCAAGCCAAATCTCTCGATCTACTCATGGACTTGAGCGGCGTACTTGTGAACTTCTTTCCGGCATCGCGCGCAGCCGTGGAGCGCTATTTACGAGCGAGCGCTTAGTGATCCTGTAGAAGGGGCAGCTGAATCCGACTGCGACGGGTTCGGCGGTCGATAGCTTCGTAACTGTAACTGAGGTTCTCGTGCTTGAGATGTTGGTGAGCAAGAGGTTCCAGAATAATGATCCATGAATCATGCGGACTGCGGCGTAGTCCGGGGAACACTCGCACAAACGAGACGATTGGTACACTGAATTGACCTACTCGATGCCGATTTTCCGACTCAGTGCGATGATCGATCAACAGAAGAATATTCTTCCGCTCAAGGTTGGGCTCATGACGCCGTGTTTGCTTCCGAGACCGGAGCCGAGACACAGGCTCTCCGCACTGGTAGAATGATGTTCCATAGTGGTCCGTCGCGTCGCAAGTAGATCCAACTGTATCAATATCTTCTGTGTTTGTTATGATAATGACATAGATTCGGCCGGTGAGTTCCGGCAGATTTTACTTGATTGGGCGGTTTTTTGATGCCATCTGGCACCGTCCACGTGCCTCAGGCCGTTAAGTAGTTTCTGCTCATTCTTGCCACCATCGGCCATCCGCCGGAATCTTGACACAGAACCGTTCTCCACAGCCTTCGAAATGACAAAAATTCGCGCGCGTTGGGCGTAAGCGCTTCGTGCTCGATAGGGAAAACGGCTCCTCTAGTAGAATCCCCACAGTATAAATGCGCGACCAAAATGCACCGTAAGTAGTATCACTGAGTACTGTCACTGAGCACGATGCCCCCGGACGCCACTACTGCTGCTATCACTCCTCTCAGAATTACGATCGTTGGTGCTGGACTGGGTGGGCTCGCTGCTGCCGTGGCCCTGCGGCAGATCGGGCACGTCGTGCAGGTGTTTGAGCGGTCGGAGAACAAGACGGAGGTCGGCGCGGCGCTGGCGCTGCAGCCGAGCGCCAGGCGGGTGTTGAAGCATCTCGGAGTCCAGCAGGAAAACTTGAAAGGGGTGTTTTTACGAGGGGTGAGCAGCTAATTCATGGGTGCGAGCATGGCTCTTAACACCCGTATGCGCGCAGATGATCAGTTTCGACGTTCTGACTGGAGAGGGAAACGAGATTAGCTTCCCATCGGACGGGGAACGTGGGGAGAACCAGGCAAGTCTTTGTTCCCCTCGTACCATGCTCTCTGGCATGACGATCGCACAGTTGCTGTTGGGGTGCCACCGGACCGACATCTACGAAGAACTCAAGCGCGTCGCGCTTCATCCAGAAGCAGGCCTTCCGCCCGTGTCCATGCGATTTGGATGCAAAGTTCTGTCTTGCTCGCCGGAAGAAGGCGATGTGGTGCTTCAGTCCGGCGAGACGGTCCACGCGGATCTCGTTCTTGGCGCAGATGGAATCCAGGTGCGGCGTCGTGATCACTTGGTGTCGTCACTTGAGCCAGAATCACGGCTCGACTAATTCATCACAGTCGCTCATCCGGACGCATGTAATCGGCTACGTTCAAGATGCCCCGCCCACTGGAATCACCTGCTGTCGCTCGGTGTTCAAAGCGCCTCCAACAGACGGCAGCTTCTCAGGTCTAGAGTGGCTCACGGAGGGTGCCGTCGGCATTCGCTCTATCCCCTGGAAAGGCCTACCTTTCCGTATGATACTTGTCTATCCTTGCAGGAACGGAGAGCTCGTCAATTCCATACACTTTTTCACGGAAACAGCGGAGGAGAAGAGCGACGGTCGGTGACAGCCCCTCTCCCATACTGACGCAGGGGCTGATTGCGCATCTGTATTCCAGCCTCACACCCAGTCACGACCCCGTCGATCTCCCCAGAGGAGGTGCGCGCCAAGTTCGCCGACTACGACCCCAAATACCACCGCCTGCTCGACCTACCGGAGCACACCGGCCAAATCTACCGCTGGCGGTTGCGCACGCTCCCTGCGCTCCCGACATGGTACAAAGGCCGCACTGCGATCCTCGGTGACGCAGCCCACGCGACGCTTCCGTTCTTGGCCCAGGGCGCGGCAATGGCGATCGAAGACGCGGGTGTCCTGGCGGGGCTGCTGCCTCTCGGCACCGCGCGCGAGGATGTCCCCGCACGGCTTGCAGTGTGGGAGGCCCTTCGGAAGCCGCGGGCGGAATACGTCAGCAATATGTCGATCCAGCAGGTGAATGCCATCATGGCTGGGCAACAAACCCATGCGTATGGTGCGTATGCTTCGTGTTTATTTGCGGAATGCGACGTTGAATAAACAAGGTGATACGGGCTCCAAGTTGGCCGACTACGATGCGATTGCAGCTGGACAACAGGCATATCAGGACAACTTTACTGGGAAGCAGCAGGCCTAGGTTCGGAGAAAGAGAGATCGCGAGAGCTTCCTATTCAACACAAATTCGGTACATGCTTTGGGACATGAATGCCAATAGAGTCTTTACGAGACGCATTGATCCCTCATTATGTGCGTGTTCTGCGGCTCAAATCATGTCGAAGCTCACTCTGGATCCAGGTCCCTTCTCTCTAACATAATTGTGTTGCACGTATAGTGCGTTTTTGTGTTCAGCCCTTGAGTGATGGCCAAGTGGATTTAGAAAGAATCAAGCTCTCGTCCTTCTGTTCTATTACCATAAAAGAGCTGGAAAATATTTGGTATACATATGTACGTATCACTCAGCGTAACCGTCACATCACATCAGTATCACGCTTTCACGATCGACCACCATGTCAGAAACCACCGAAACCCAGCTCGTTGTCCCGGCACAGAAGAAGCAGAAGAAACTCAAACCAGCTCGGAAGCAGGTAAAAGCTGGAGATGTCGTAAAGACGGAGGCTCCGCAGACGGGGAAGGAATACAGTACGCATCCTTGACCTTTCATCGCATGTCCAGGCATTCAGGATCATTCACAGACATCTGGTACAACAAATGGGCCGGAGGAGACAGAGAAGACAGCTATTCCAAGTAAGATAGATTTGCCGCTCGGGTGGTAGTCGGCCGCACTTGCTGACCCACCCACCCAGCAAAGTCAAGTCTCAAACGCGTTGCAACATCAAGCGCGACCAGGGCCTCACGCGTGCGAACGTGACGGGCATGAAATACACCTGCCTGTTCTTCGCGCGAGGATGCTGTCCGTATGGCTGGGAATGCGAGTACCGCCACACGCTGCCCGACCCGGATGACTCGCTGCCGGACAGCTCCAAGGACTGCTTCGCGCGCGAGAAGTTCGCCGACTATCGCGACGACATGGGTGGTGTGGGCAGCTTCAACCGCCAGAATCGAACGCTGTATGTCGGCCGGATTAAGGAGACGGGGGTGGGGCTCGAGACGGAGGAGATCGTGCGGCGGCATTTTAAGGAGTGGGGTCCTATCGCACGGGGTGCGTTCTCTCGATGCGCCGCTGCTGCTGACGCTCCTTTTCTTCATCACGCTGACTCCTTCCCTCGCTTTTTTAGACGATTCTGAGACGACATGGGCCGTTAAAGTCCTGCAGTACCGTAGCGTAGCCTTCGTGACATACACCCACGAAGTCCATGCCCAGTTCGCAAAAGAGGCCATGGCGTGCCAGTCTCTCGACAACGACGAGATCCTCAACGTGCGCTGGGCGACGGAGGACCCGAACCCTGTGCAAAAGGTCGCTGAGAAGCGGCGCTTGGTGGAGATGGGACAGGAGGCTATCAAGAGCAAGGTTGACCCCCGCGTCATCGATGCCATGCGCACAATACGTGCGCTCGAAGATGGAGATACTTTGGACGAGCACGGGTATCTGATTGAAGGCGGCGATGTCCAAGAGGAAGAGGATGATGATGATGATGGCCAGCCCCAGGCGAAACGCCCGCGACTGGAAGCTCCGCCTCCTCCTGAGGAGATCGTGCAAGCACAGGGAATCCTCAGTGCGGATACTATGGAGGGTTTGAAGTACTTTGCACAGATCAGACAGCGGAATGGCGCCACCATGTCTGCACCTGCTCGAGCTGCACCCCCGCCGACCCAAAATTTAGGTCTTGGCCTTGCGGACTACGGCAGCGATGATGACGAGTAGATATTAGCTTACCCACCGTTCCTGGGATGTATGTGCTTTGCAATCTTTGTAATCCACCGGGTGGTCAAAAGACAGGGGGACCTTGTGGTATGCCTGAGGCCTGGAGACGACATATAATGATGACCGCAGTGGTCAAAGGATCTGAAGGGCCTTGGCAAACACTATCTGCATATGTATTACATTCAAGTGCTGGATCAGTCTCCACCCCCATCCTCGAGACCAAGAAGTGCAAGTCGTTCTGCCTCTGCCGCAGCATCTTCGTCTTCCTTCTCTTTGCGATATTTGTCCAGGTCCCAATCGTCTTCCGGTTCGTCGTCGTCGTCGTCCAAGAACCATTCCGGGTTGTAGTCGAACTGCGAACAAGTCGGCTCTGGGACGGGAGTAGAGTCCCGTGGATGACACATACCAAGTCCTTTCCACTCATTCCGGTATTCTTGCCGGCAGCATGCTGCGACTCCTTCGCCTTGCGGAGGGCCTCTTGCTCGGCATCTTTCTTGTCCATCCGCGTCTTCTTCCACTTCGCGAATGATTCGGGCGTGACTGGTGTCAGATTCGTGCCGAGTTTGTGTCGCTGTAGGTCAGGATATGTAAGAAACAAATCAGAAAGACGGAAAAAACGCTGCGTACCTCCACTTCGAGGAACTCTTCTAAACTGATGACATTGGCTTTGGCAGCCTCCTCGGCAGCTTTGCGTTGCGATTTCAAGACAAAGCCAGGGGGGAGAGCGTGACGATATTGGCACGTCTCTCCACCGTTTGGACATTCCCAAAACCAGCCGAATCTAGCGAATCCATGAGATGAGAAGAATGAAAAGCGATGGGCAAACTTTTGGTCCTCGATGGCCTGGATGAAATGTTTGCAAACGATCTGGTCACAGGTCAGTGGGCGAAAGAAAATGAGAGCATAGCGTACGTCTGTCGTCGTCCTCGGGTTTCCATGCTTCGACAGAACGACCTGTGCCAACTTTTCCTGGTCCCATGTATCCATGGTATCTGCATTGCGAGTGAGCTGAGCGATGTATCTGCCACCAGCGAGCTGGAAACCGGCGCACCCTCGAGCTTCTCCTCTCGGCCGTCCTCGTACAGATTCCTCTTCTCGACCTTCCGCTCCACGTCCATGTTATGGCTGAACTTGCACTTGTTCCCCTTCTGACAGGACCCGGCCTTGTAGAACGCACAGAGCACGGTCTTCGGATCGACGCCGAAGGGAATCTTCTGCACCGGGACGGAGCCCAGTAGCGCGGCCTCTTCCTTCCGCCGCTTCTCCTCCTCCAGCTTCTCCTTTGCACGCAGGTCCTTCTCCTTCTCCTTCGCCAACGTCTCTCGGGATTTACCCGTGATCGACGCCTGTGCCTGGAGGATGGCGACCTGCTGCTTGACCTTGGCGGATTTGTTTTTCTGTCGGAGGGAGGTGATGAGGACTAGGCTGCTGCGTGGCCGGCGTCAGACACGAACGTTTTTCAGGCCAAAGGTCTGCGCGGTTCTTGATCAGTCAGTGCCTTTCGGGGGGAGACGAGATCGCTGCGCCGGATTACCTTGTCATCTTTGACTTTAGACGAGCTCGATTGCTGCTGCTTTTTGGGCGGCATCTCTGCTCAGATAACGGTCAAGTCGCGATTTAGTGCGTGGATTGGCCTTGCGGCAACCGATGGAGAGATGTGATGTAACGGATGTGACGGGTGAAGTCACGAAGGAGTCACAGGTGATGGGTGATGGGTGCTCCTCAATACCACCGGGTTCCTAACCCAACAAACTCAACCACATGCTGGAAGAGCGACTTGATTTCAAGTGACAAATTAAGTGATTGTGCGATGAGAATGCCCCTATAATCACGGGATATAATATCTTACTACAGCATGTTACCCACCATGCCAACCAGCATCTTCGTTCCAATGCGAACATTTCTGTCGGCACCTTGCCACGGGACAGCATGGGCCCTGAGTCCCTGGATCTCGTCCCCCATCCGATTCCGGAGTTCCTCAGCCCCGGCAGGTGGGAGCATGAGGAAGGACAACTCCGAGTCTATGTGAGCTGAACGCGAGTTGAGATTTGTTGAGCCAAAGAGCGTGAGCATGGGTGGCTCGTTGGGCTCTGAAAGCCAGATCCCTGGTCCAGGTGTTAGTCGGATCGTGTCGTGGCTATGGCGTGCTCTCCACCTTTTGCGTGATAAGTCCATCCGTCCTGATGCCATTCGTTCAACTGAACGGAGGGCTGTTTCCCGGCACGTGCGACAGCAGCCATGAATCGTTGTTCCAGAAGAGTGTATCCCTCAGGGATACGTCCCGATACACCTTTCGACCCGTAAAATCCATTTGCCTGTGCTCATTCAGCGGGATTTCTGACATCTCCAGGGGACAGGAACATACTAATGGAGCGGCAGCTACAATTCGACAATCGACTTGCGAACTGTCGAGAATGAGTTGCCGGTATTTTTTGTATAATCCAAAATATCCGCTGGTCAGGTCCAGGATCGGCCGGGATGCCGGCGTGTGGCTCTCCAGATGGTTGAATAATGCGGCGAGAGCAGTTTCTTCATCTCGGATGTTGAATTGCCCGGCTTGCATGAGCGGGAAAAGAACGACTTTGTCGGAAACGTCGTCTTTCGCAGTATGTTCTGCGTCGTCGTTAGTGGGCTCGAGATAAAAGAGGAAGTGATCTTACGGATGTACGTTTGTTGAAGGCTGGAGAGCCCTTCTTCTGCCATATCGTGGATCTGATGGGGATGAATCGACGATTCTGGCCAAATCAGGGAATAGTCCGGTGTTTTCCTTGAATATTCGCCGATGACTGATGACGACGATGTCTGCAGCTTGAAGGAGAAGCTGGACACCGTCTTGATGAAGTCCGAACAAAACTTCGATAAAATCGGCTGCGAAGAGAAGTGCAGGTAACGATCTTGCCTGTCCGTGAAGTAAGATTTGTTCAAATTAGCACTGGGATCTCATCAGTTGGATATAAGTGGCACGGTTCATGCATTCTGACCCGCTGAACATGACCTCGTCATCCACACCATAAATCTTGGCGTGCCACGTTCCCCAACCTTCGTTGAATCTCGGGGGCACAAGTCGAGCGAGAATTCCTCTCAAGCTCGGACTCCTGAAGAACGATACATGAACTCTATCTGGAAATTGCTCCACGAGAGGTAAGAGTAATTTCGCCGTCGACTGAGGCTCAGGACGCGTTGAACGGTTCAGGTCGAAGAGCATCTGCACTTCCAGGTGGGGATTTCTTTGAAGGGCTTGAGCGAGAGCCATCACCTTGATGGCCGATGTTGTTGAGCAATTCAGAAGGGGAAGGCACAAGTTGGACGACGAACGATGTCAAACTCCGTTGATCCAAGGTACAATGACGAGATGAATATTCTCGATTTTGCGCGGTTTATCATGTCCTAAAAAAGTTGAGAAGCGTTCAAGTCTCTGAAATTCTTCTCCTCACAATGAGCAAAGAGTGGAATTCAATTGGCTTGGCCAAAATTCGTATGTTGTTTGGATCGACGCCGAATTTCGGGAGTTCGAGTTTCTGGACATATCCACGTATTGTCGGGTGTATATGAGAATATGATGATGATGGGCGTGTGTATATCCGGCCCTTGCCACGAAAAACGCGTCCGCAGGGCCGCAATGAACAACGCAGCATTGACGTCAAAGGAAGACAGAGTCACAGGTGGTGACATCAGGTCAGCCTGATTTCGTGATCTTCGAGTCTCCAGCCTTCACCTTGCACCCTGGCTCGCGTTGCTATTCATGTTGGCGACCTTGCTTTTCATTAATCCAGCTCTAAGCCAACCTTACCGGAAGCGGAAATTTCATCTCCACATCTTCTAGACAACGCAATATAACCTTCCACACCCTCTATGAAGCTCTCATTCAATTCGGCACACTAGCCCGCACCCTCGCATCAATGGGCCGTGCGTAGCCAGTGGGACACGCAATCACCGCTCAGGGATAAAGCCGGAAGACGGCAGCGAAGCAGATCGCATTTGGTGAATCACAGGTCTTAAATGGTACTGACCAAGCTATCGAGTGATGACTTCGTGAGAAGGAGGGTACACCCACCACGCGCATCTACCTGGCACATGAGCTCTCCGGTTCCACTCATGGGTGACTGCAGCGACTCCGACGACCAGCTGGATGAATTTATCCATGCGTATTCGTATAGGGACGACGCGATCCTTGAGTGAGTGCTGCACTCGCGCGCCCATCACGGGGCTACTAATTGACCCCCTGATCTTCAGGTGCCCCGACGAGGACGAAGTCTCTGACTCTGCTGAGGACTCTGGCTCGGATTCGGAGCCACCATTGTACGTCTTCCTCCCGCATTGTCTGTCGGATGCACCGACTCGTCTCAGGTCAGAAGAGGTGGAGGATATCTACGACCTCTATAACACCAGCACCCGGCCCTCACCTCTTCCTCCTCCGAGCCCTCTACTCGAAGACGATGCCGGCCTCGACTCAGCTTCGACAGGCATCAACCCTATGCTCGATTGCTTAGTACCACAGGACTCCGACCAAGTGCTGTCCCCGAAACACACCCGCCGCGCCGGCCTTGTTGGTCCCCTCGCAATGACAACGCTCAGAGCAGGAGAAACCGACTCCATGGCCTGGAGGGTACCCAGTACGCCGTCCCTGAGCTCCCCCCCTTCTATCAAAGTGACTGATCGCACACTAACAGTCTTGGATGACTCTTCAGAGAGCGGTGCGGAGTCTGACGGCAGCGAGGACGATGGCGAGGACGAGCGTCGCAGAGAATAGCGCGCGCGTGGAGCTGAGAAGGGTCATGCCAGGCGTCATCTGTTCTGCGACCCCGCGTTCTCGCTGTTCGTTATCGGAGATAATCGATTAAATCCCTGTTTTTCCATGTGACATGGGGCACATACATGATGCAACGTGTGTCATTCTGGGGAATATTCGCGTCTTTGAATAGGTACGACAGATTCGCGAACCTTCTTTTGCGCTTCCCTGGGCGTCTGCCGTCTCTGATTCGCTATAGTCTATCTTTTTTCACTGTGAATCGGTAAGAAGGACCGGCACAAATAGCGGATTCGGAAATTACACCCAGGTTCCGGCCCGCAAGATGAATGAGGGCTCAATTCTCAATTGCAGCGCGGCCCGAGGGCAACATCTTTCAAATTTGAAGCCCCGATTCTCTCAGAACGAGGAGAGGTTCAGGATCGGGCTCTCAGCAAAATTCACTCTAGGGGCGGTGTTATCCTGTCAACTGGTGATTCCCAGAGGAGACGATGCACATCCTGCGTTACAAGGGCCCTGAGCAGTCTTGACGAAAGGCCGATCCTTGCTGTATAGTTCCACCTTGCGGACTTGGCAGGCCCTTGGTTTAGACCTCATTGAGCAAGTCTCCACTTATCCAACGATAGTTGGCGACTTGATACCTCGTGGACTTCATTTGCCAATGTCAGACACATCAGAGCATTTCATTTCAGAACAAACGTGATATCAGAGAGATGTACCCTCCGCAGCCTTGCGTTTCTCTGCTGCAAGCTGGGCCTCCTTCAAGGGCTTCCGCCACCTCATCTCGGGGGCGTCCCAGAGCCCCAGCTCGTGCTTGACCTGCCGCACATCCTGTTCCCAGCGCTCTTCCCAGTAAACCTCGATCAAGCATCGTGCGCTTCCCCCACAGCGCAGCGCCCAGGGTATGTACTCTGCCACAAGACGCTGCAGCTGCGCCGGCTTGAGGCGGAGCGGACCGAAGAGCGCCGAGAGGCCTGCGAGCGGAAGTCCCAGGTTGACGAACTCGAAGTACTTGACGGCAATTTCGGCGTCGACGCTGACGGGCAGGTTGACGATGCAGTGGTACAAGTCGTGACACTCCCGGTAGCGCTGCATGACATACGCCAGCTCCGGATCGTCGATGTAATGCACCTGTTAGAACGAGGATATAGCGGTTGGAGACGGCATGCCGGGGCACAGGGGGAGAGAGAGACACGCACGGGTTCTCGTGTATCCGGAGTCACACCAGTGCGCTCGAGCCACGTAATGTATGTTCTTCCGAGGGACCCTTCAGGCATTTGCGCGAGCTTGTCCATGTCCACTGTATTAGAGTTGATTCGTGGTCGGTCTTTGAGGATGCGGCGACCCTCGGGGCTGGAAAGCATATAGTCTCGCAGACGGGGTAGAGCAGGGCCTGCTGTCGTTTCGCCCAGAGCAGCGACCATATCTCGAGAAAGAACGCCCTGAGTTGATTGAAGAGAGTGGTCTCGCAAGACTTACCACCGCGACGCGGATTAGCAAGAGCCATGAATGCAGAGCCGACAGCCAGAACGCCGTTCTCAAACCAGTTGATGGGGATGTGTCCTTCGTACGCGGGCACCTTCGTGCTCTGCCATCGTCGTGTTCGTGGTACGATGCTGTTTTGCGGGCGGAGCACTGCAGCACGCATGCTAGGTTTGAAGATACGGGCCGCCATGGTGGTGGTAGGTAGAGACCACTAGTTTGACTGGCCGTGGAGGAGACAAGCAGGCTAGACGGCTCTGAGTCGGTCCAGATTGGGATGTGTGACTGTGATGGCTTGTGACCAAGCGCGTCTTGCGCTCTACCGATTCCTGCAACAAAGAGCGTCGCCAAGCTAGAGGAGCTTTGACGGCCATGCAACGACACGCGCATGGATTTTTTTTATTGTGTGCTGTCGCTGATTACCGACGGACTCAAATGCCTTGCCATAGCATTCGCCTCTGCTGCTGTGTATGAAGAGGACAATGGATAATTTCATCCTGATGAACGCGGCCACGTGTATCAAAAGAACGCCCACTTGTCGAACAATACCTGATCGCGTCATGGCTTGAACGCCAGAAATGGCAGTCAGCGACGCCTTGGATGACAATTCGTCGCTTGAGTGCAAAGCGTAGCGGGTCGCAAGGGAGTATATAAGGTACATTTCTTCCCTGCACTCTCCATCTCGTACTTTCTCATTCTCTCTATAATGGCAGCTACCACACGCCGCAACTCTCTTCCCATCTTCACCGAACTGGTTTCTCATTCGATGGGACTACAGTCGCCGACTCCGCACCAGGCAAAGCGGAACTGCATCTACTTTCCGGCAGCGGGCATCGAGAAGCGGCGCATCCCGGACACGGTCGAACTGACTTCCCGCGCTCCCGCACCGAACTCGTTCGAGGCCGCCCTCATGGGCTCGGGCGTGTACGATGTCGGCGGCAATGTGAATGTGTGCTACGACGCGCCACGGGAGGATCTCAGTACCTGGGAGTTCGTGTCCCCGGTGGCATCGCCCATAGCCCAATCGTTCGTGGTCTCTGAGCCCGCAGGTCCGACTGCTGCGCAGGAGGTGGCGACACGCTACCGTGCTGGCCTGGAGATCGACTTGGGGCCTCCTGCACGTCCGGCGTCGGCTTCGGCGTCGGATGCATCGTCGACGCTTAGTGCGGAGGACGGCGACGATGCGTCAACCATCTCAAGCTTTGGATCGATCCCGTTTCCCGTCGAGAGGGACTTCAACATGCGACCGACCTTCCAGGCTTCGCGCACCAATGCCTTGCTTGATATCGTGCGTCTTCACCGTTCCTTTTCTGATCGGCCTTTCTGACCGCCGCTGCAGCGCGAAGAAGTTGCCATTGTTATGCGGCAGGGCGGACTGGGTCCTCATGACCCGGTCGTTTGTCATCGCTACGATTGCCGGGACACTCTCCCGAATATGAAGGCGTTCATCTACCATCTTCATATCCACAATCTTCATGACATGTGAGTTGGATGTTGTTCTATATCATTGCCTCTTGCTGACTCGGGGCAGGGCCTACGCCTGTGACGACTGTGGCAAGCGTTTCGAAGCTCCTCGTCTCCTGGCTCTGCACAATTGCCCCAGACACGCATCTTCTTGCCCGAGCAGTCCTGTCCGCGGTGAGCAGCTACTTTCCTCGCATTTCGACTCCCGTGTCTCATCATCTTAGCTGTTACAGACACGATCATGCGCGTCCTCAGCCGAATCAAGTCCCACGAATGATTTTCAATCATCACCTTCCAACTATATACTCTCGCTTCCCTCTTTCATCCCATCTGTTATCCAAAACTTATTTGCATTCCATTTGTAGCGGTAGGCTTCTCCTGTTCAGTTACCATCCATCCACCAAAATCTATTGTACAATGTTTTTGTAATGTTTACTGCACCAACGATCTGTTCCTGCAAAGTCTAAATTTGTCATCGCCACTTGTCATCAAGTCACCACTTTCCCAAATTGGAAACCTCCCGTGCAACCGAGTCCGTGCTACCGACCTCGATCCCGCGCGTCATCGTTCGTGTGCACTGCCCGCTATGTGCGCTGCCAACTATAAAGACTGTTCGCCAACCGCAATAACGACAACAACATGAGCTCTCTTGATAACATCCGTGCCGCCAACGCCGCCTGGAAGCCTTCCTACGCCCCCGTCGCTGTCTTCGTCGGCGGGACGTCAGGCATTGGAGAAGGGATCGTCGAGGCCTTCGCCAACCACACAAATGGCAAAGCCCACATCTACATCGTCGGTCGAAACGCGTCAGCAGCGTCACAAATCTTCGCGCGGATCACACCCGCCCCTGCCTCCACGTCGCAGTCCTTCAAGCGCGAGTTCGTCGCGTGCGACCTCTCTCTCGTGGCGAACGTCGAACGTGCCGCGGGGACAATCCTGGCGTCGCATGACCGCGTCAACTTCCTGTTTATGAGCGCGGGCGCGATCTCGCTGACGGTGCAGGACTTCACGGAGGAGGGGCTGGACCGGCAGCTGTGCCAGCTGTACTACAGCAAATGGGCGTGGACGGATGCGCTTCTCCCTGCGCTGCGTGCTGCGTACGCGGCAGGCGAGGACGCGCGCGTGGCTGCTATCCACACCGCCGGTCGTGGGGGCCCGGTCGACGTGCAGGACATCGGGCTGCTCAAGGCGATGAAGGGCGGGCTCAGGAAAGTGGGCTCGCTCTTATCGCAGATGGCCAGTTATCAAGATCTTATGGCCGAGGTGCGCATGGATAGCTCTCGTCATTGTAGCCGGCACCCTCTGATGTGGTTTCGCAGGGCTTCGCCGAACACAATCCCGGTATCACCTTTACGCATACGTTCCCAGGGGAAGTCAACACACCGTTGCTGCGGAATTCACCGTCTGCGGTCGTCCGCGGCGTCTACTCCCTTCGCCACCTTCTCCTGCGCGGCTTCATGAGCCGCGCGATGCCGATTTCAGAGTGCGGCGAGCGGCAGCTGTATGGACTGCTCCACGTTCGTCTCCTGTTCGTTCTATTTCGAGAATGCGAGGATTGATTGGCTGATAGGCACCCCCTGGCGCGTCTCGGTTTGGTGGAGACGGTGCAGATATCGGAATGGGTGGAGTCGACGATCCGCTGTGGGGCGAAGTGCGGACTGCTTTGTGGAAGCACAGCGAAGAGGTCGTGTCACGCAGGTGAAAGATCGATACGTTGGCCGAGGTCGATTACTGTTTCGTGATGCATGAGCAATCGAGGAAGGCCTGCTGCTATGTAATCGCACTAAAATTAGTCAGAATTTTATGGAGCCGTGATTGGCATGTGTCAATCAGTGGCGATGCACGTTTCAATCGATGCGAGTGAACGCCTGATGGACCACGAAAGGTAATTCCGTCGAACGTTCTAGGAGGTCCTAGCATACTGTGACGCACCATGTGCGGGGGACTTATGAGATGGCTTCGATATTGTGCGCGGGGTGCGATCGGCTCGCCGTGATAATTTTATCTTTGCTTGAGCCGCCTTGAGCCCTTCTATGTCTGACTGTTCCCTCGCAATCAGACCGACATCTTCGGGACAAGACCTATCGCTCATGATTATGCAGAATAAGCCGAAACGGGCCGGGAATGTGTCTCATTTGTGGTCCCTGGTTACACACGGTGGATGCGGTGTGCAGCTGCCGCGCTGCTGATGAAAGCATGTGTCAATGGTTAATCGGCGTGGGCCAGCATCTGCTAGCATCCGATAAATTGAATTCACGCATGAGTAACCGGTGAGTGACGCAAGTGGGTGCGCCGATGACGTGTCCGTGCTGACACTTTCTGGCGCGGGTCAAGTGGCAGCCGCCGGCCCGCGGATAATGTCCGCTTTTCAAGACCCACTCTGGAAGCTGACTGGCCAATATCTCCAGTGAAGAGAGGCGGCTCGTTGAGACCTCATTCAAGGGAGTGAGAGCTCGGGCACGAGATCGTGGACACGATAGAGACCGGGAATGTGGAACAATCGGAAAATCATATGCAATGATGAGTGATGGCGGAGCTGATGCCGGGTTAGGTGGCTCGGTGAGTCATCGGCTGAGCGAGTCAACGATGCGCGCGGCAAATCGGGTCTTCGGGGACTTCTGTCTTTGTTCGTCAGTCAGCAATCGCGCGATCGCATATAATACACAGCGCTTTTTCTCAGATGGACACACCGGTAACCACCACCCCCATCCCCGCCTCTCGCAGTCCTCCTTCAAGATATCCATCACCTGCAGCTCTTTGACAACGAAATGTCTGACTACTCCTCCTGGTCGCCTGTCTCCTCCTCCTCCTCTGGCTCGAGCCGCAGCTCGCCAGTCCACTCGGCCTCCCTTGTGGACCCCATCTCACACTCCCCTGCTATGATGCAGCTCATCGAGACTGAGATTTCGCATTCTTTCATCGGTATGTCCTTTTTTCTATCCCTGATTCACTATCCGAGACTAACCGGTCCGCTCAGATTACATCGTCGAAAGGGTGGCAGACACCGTATACTACGCTCTGGGCCGCGATAACGCATCGTACCGCACAACCCCGGCCCGCCAGTCGAAATACGCGGCTAAATTCGCTAACTTTGTATCTACCATCGTCTCCCGTGCCGAAGTTACACCGTCGACGCTTCTTGTCGCACTTGTCTACATTGCGCGGGCACGGCCCCATCTCTCCATCGCCCTCGAGGACTGGGCATTCGAGCGTGTCTTCCTCGGCGCGCTCATCGTCGCGAGCAAGTTCACGCAGGACAGCACGCTCAAGAACGTACACTGGGCACTCTGCACCGGCGTGTTCGGAAAGGGCGACATCGGCCGGATAGAGCGCGAGTTCCTCGAAGTTCTCGACTGGGAGCTTAACGTGCGGGAGGATGAGATCGTTGCGCACTGGGGTGGTATCATGGCTGCGCTCAACGTCGTCGACACGGACATGGACATTGAGCTGGTTCCGTCGCTCTCCAAGCGCGCTCACCACCGCCATGAATCGCCAACTCGCGTTGTGCCTGAGCTCGAGGCCTCCAGCCCGACCAGCACGTGTGTCAGCCTGTCTCCCCGCACGCCGTTTACGTCCCGGCCGTCGTCGCCTGTCTATCACGATGAAGCCGAGTCTTCGCATATGGAAGTTGACGCGGATAAATCGGAACTGGAATCCCCTGCCGTCGCCGCGGGCAAGTCGCTGCCCGTTGCGTGCAAGCTCGCTACGAAGATGCGGGACATGTTCCACCCCGTGCGACATTCGCGGCCGGTCATGGTGGACTAGAGAGCCAACGGCTTCTCTGAGTGCAGACCACCGCGAACAAACCTTTCGATCCGCGCCTTGACGACGCCTTTCGACATCTAACCGACAATACTGATCTAGCTGGCCCGAGTGCCATGCCTGAAAACGCAGCGCCACTGTGCTGCTGGAGATCGATGCGATGCAATCGTCTCCGAATACATTCCCACCCGATAACTACATACTTGCCCCCACTCATTAACCTGCCACGAACGGTTGTAGATACTTGCTTCGTTACACCCACATGTAGATAACTAACTGTGTTCGAACATCTCACCCAATGCTATCCTTATCCCAATGATCAATGACGATTCCTGTCCGATTGCCCCGGTTTATCATCGATGAAGCTTGTGAAAATTATAAATACACCCAGCTGGTCGGAAATAGAAGCACGTGGGAATGTGCAGTCCCAACGTTGCTCCCCGGCTATCCTCGGGCCATTCGGGTCCACAGGTTCAAAAATGGACAGGAAAGAAGGGACGGATTATCCGAGCTTCGAGTTCCGCAGCTTCAAAGCTTCAAAGCTTCAACGGCATGAAAGCCGGCAGAAGCCGATCAGACACTGCCACACATTCATCATTTAGTCACTGACTCGGCTTTCCCGCTTGATCATGAACCTTGACTACTCATGTTCATCCGTTGCTGTATCCCTTTCTGTTCTAATACGCGGACAGCACCCTCGAGCACATCATTCGATCTCATCACTAGGCATTATGCAGTGACATTAAAGCCCTTCAAACCACCCTCCGCCTGCCACTCCTCCAGGATTTTGGTGTAGCTAACGATCCCCTCTCCCCATACCGCAGATTGTGCGGCCTTGAGCTGATCGGCCATGCTCTGTGGCCGGCCGCCTCCGCCCTCGAGATTGAAGTACCCCGGCGTGCATCCCGGGACAGCCGCAAACCACGCCGCGCGTTTCACGACCTCCGCCGTCCACGCATCTTCGGCGCTCTTCTCAACTTCAATCACCGGCCTCTCGGTGCCACCGACGACGCGCTGCGCCTGGGCGATGATCGCGGCGATATGTTTCGACGTGGCATTGAGTGGGAACGTGAAGTTTGCGGTGAAGCCGAGCTGCGAGAGGCCCGGGAGGAAGAACATGTTGGGGAACCCGCTCGACGCGATGCCGTGCAGCGTGCCGCAGCCCTCCTCGATCCACTTGTCGTCCATGTCCCTCCCGTTTGCGCCTGTGATACGGCAAGTGCCCCGGGAGGCGGGGCTGCCCGTACCCGCTGCGAAGGTCACCACGTATCCGGTGCTGAGGACGAGCACGTCGACTGGGTACTGGATCCCATTGGCGACCACGCCATCCGCAGACAGTGCATCCACGCCTTTTCCGTCCGTGTCGACGAGGGTAACGTTCGGGCGGTTGAACGCGGGCAGGTATTCATCGTGGAATGTCGGCCGCTTGCACCAGACGGGGTACCACGCCTTGAGCTTTGCGGCGGTTTCCGGGTCCTTCACGATCTCGTCGACACGCGCTCGGACCCGTTCAGCGCGGGGCAAATCCAAACTGTGCAGCTTCGCGATATGCTCCGGAATTTTCTCAGGCGTCACTATCCCTGGCGCACCGATGATCCCACAGTACGCGGGCATCTGGCACCACGCGTCGGATACGAGATCCGGCCCGTCTTCTGGCTCGTTGATCAAGATCGCGTTGTAGTTGACCGACCGGGCGTGCTGCCATCCCTGTCCAGTCGCGATCTTGTTCCTCCATTCGTCCGGATCGGTGGGGTGCTGGTTTCGCACGTCGACGCTGGAGGGTGTGCGCTGGAAGACGAAGAGTTCTTTGGCCCACTTGGCAAGCTCTGGAACTACCTGAATAGCAGTGGCGCCGGTGCCAATGATTCCCACGCGCTTGTCCTTGAGCTTGTCCATAGTCGGAGATCCGGGAGATCCGCCTGTGATCGAGTAGTTCCAGCGAGCAGTATGGAATGTTGCGCCTTTGAAGTCATCGAAACCAGGCAAGGATGGGATTTGCGGCGCGATGATGGCCCCTGCACCAAGGAACACGAACTGCGCAGACACTGAAAACGAGCGCTCCGGTTCCCCTGGTCCCCGATCCTCGCGCATTTTCACGGTCCAGTGCTTCTCCTCTTCGCGCCATTCTGCGCTGTGGTAAACCGTCCTCAACGAGGCTTGCAGCCGATAGTGCGCTGCGATGCGTTCCGCATGCTCCCTCAGCTCGTCCCCGTACGCATACTTGAATTTGGGCATGTAACCTGTCTCCTCAAGCAGTGGCATGTAGATGTAGCTCTCGACGTCGCACATCAAACCGGGATAGCGATTCCAGTACCAAGTCCCCCCGAATCCACCTGCCGCATCGACCAGGCGGATGTCCGATGCGGCGAATCCGGCCTCGATCAGTCGCGCTGCCAGGATCAACCCTCCGAACCCCGCACCAAGGATGAGGAATTTGACGTCGTCCCCATCGCTGAGCACGTGCGTTGCAGCGTTGAGCGCTGCGTGGTCGACCCATGGATCGGTCTCGAGGTGTTTGTATTTGCTTGACTTCGAGAGCTCAATGAATTGTGATGTGCCATCGGGACGCAGGCGTTTGTCGCGCTCCTGAGCGTATCGCTCCGAAATGTCAGTACTAGGAAGAGTGGCCATGTGTCAATATGTACTGCAAGAAGATTTAGGGCCATCTTTATATACTTGTACAATCATCTCGTAGATGGTCAGACGATAGCAGAGAAGGGCCACATTCTTTCTGTCATATTTGGATACCAAACTGGACCGGTAAACACAGTCCGAAGCCGAAGTGCAGACCCAAACCCTCGCACGTAATCGTATAAGCGCCTTTGTCACTGTCAGGTCCACACACTGAAATAGGGCAGCTTCTCCTCTCTTGGCCCAAACTGGAGAGCACCGAGATCAGTCAGCTGAGGCATACACGCTTTCAGGGCATCCTCTAACGCGAGCTGCCCCGGATCTTCTGCATCATCCGGAGAGATGGGCAAGTAGATGCAGACACGGTCGACAGTTCCGGCGAGCAGCGTATCCAGTTCGCCCCAGGACTGTGCTATGAGTGTCACCTGATCGACGTTGGCCATCTGGGGAAGCAGAAATTGGATGCGGGACAGATTAGATGATGCGCGAAGGATCACTTGGATGTCAGATAGCACGAGAGCCATCTCCTGCGTATCGAGCCTCAAGAGATTGAGGGTGCCCGTGTGTAGCTCGGTGCAGCAGCCATCCGCCAGTGGTAGCGGGGTTGCGTCGCGCAAGTTGGCGCGCGAGAGCCTCAGCTCTTGGAGCTTAGAGCAGAGGACGCGGAGAAGGGATGTGAAGCAGGAAGGGTCGTAGAGGACGAGTGTCAGCTTATCGACGCGGAGATTCGGGGAGGCCAACGCTGCGGGAACCACCTGCTCGATGGTCCACGACGCGATGAAGCTCAGAGACCGCAGGTGGACGCGCGGAGGGTCGGACGGTGGTACCACTCCTTTCGGGATTGGTGTGTTCCAGATCCGCCCCGCGAAAGAAAGCGATCTACACCCCGCAAAGAGCGCAACCCAGTCCCACAGGCCGTCCGCGGTCTCGAAGACGAACCGCCCGTCGAAGCGCACCTGCTCTAACTGGGCCCAGGTCCCCATCTGCTTCTCGCGCGGGATGGCCGAGAACTGCGGGTGCTGGAATTTGAGCGAGCGCAGGCTCGGGAGGCGCCGTTGCATGTCCTCGGACAGGAGATCTGCCAAGCCCGCTGTGACCGACAGTCTGTGGATCGCGACGAGGCTTTGCACAAGTATCGCCGCACGCGGACTGGCGCGCACAAGCGCACAAAAGCGCACTGCGTGGTCGTCGCCGCGTAGAACGATGTGTTTGAAGAGTCCGAAGAAAAGCCGCGAGGTGTAGTCATGCCAGCTTGAGCAGACGAGACGGAGGGGGAGGTGACAGGGTCTGATCCCAGCCGTGCGCAGCCATCGCAAACGAAGATTGGGTTCAGGGTATGTTGGGCCGTCTGCGTCGATCGCGTCGATAACCAAATACTGGAGTTCAAGAGGTACGATAGGTGCTTGTCCGAACATGACGAGTTTATATCACATGATGAGACTTCACGTGGGTCTCCCCGCATGTTGTATCGTCTGACAACGCCCGGCCCGGACATCACCGATATTGCACCGCCACTACTCCCAATCCATCCTTTGTGTCTCGGAACAATCCTATCTCTGCCTCATCCCGTCTCACCTCTTATCAGTGACTTTGCATCATTCACCCCAGGGACCTCCAATTATTACGTAAAATGGCTTCGAGGCCCCCTCCGGAGGCCATCAAACCACCCCCTACCCCCCCTGATCGGAGGCCATCCTGGAGGCGCCTTCCTAATTGGTACTCTGCCCAGCCATTCATCCACAGCCAGCATGGTAGGCTAGGCATTGACCCGAGTGTTTATATGTGCTGTAGTAGTCAGTATAAAGCCTCATACAATGTCTTAGCTCACAAAAGCTTGTATTTCTTGCTTGCAAATGGCAGACCACTGGGCACACAAAATTTGGGATTTGAGCACATGAGCACTCCTCAGGTGCATAGAGCAGCAGTATATATATTAATTCGAGATTGAGCATGAGGTAGCTGTGCCCACACGCAAAAATGAGATGTTGCTGAAGGGATGGTTTATGGCCTCCACAACCTCCCAGGGGCAGAAAAAAAGGTGTTGGGTAGCCCACAGGCCCTTGAATTCTGCTTCAATAGATCAATTTGACGTTTGTCAAAACAACAGCCCAGGATATCAATTGGATGCTGGAGCAGTGACAGAACAAGCCTCCACCGCCTCCAGGGCTGGGGACCAAAAGCGGTTATTGTAGATTCAGCCACATAAACCATATTTCTGATCTTGTTTGTCCTAGTTGGAATGTCTGGGTATTCAAGAGAGACAGGTGGCTACATAGATCAGATGCTAGCACCAATAGCAGAACTGGCCTCCATGGCCTCCACAGCCAGTGACCAAAAGCGTTTTTTTGGGTTCAGCCACATAAACCATGTCCATGATGTAGAAGGTCTTCCTTATAATTATGAGGGTCCTTTAGTTAAATGTCTCACCACATGAATCAGATGCTGGAGCAAATGGCAGAACTGGCCTCCGCTGCCTCCACAGGTTATCACTTGAAGAGTCTGAATGAGATGACAATGTAACAGATATATATTCTCCTGGCTGACCACATTCTGTCATTTTCACCTCTACATGCTAGTTTAATTGCTGCAGAATGTTAAAATTAGAGGATGGGAGACCCTGGAGGCACTGGAGGCACATGCAAGATCCAATCAATGTCATCAATATCATCAATGCCATCAATAGCATCAAGAGCATCACCGATCATTGGTATATTGATCAGCCAATCAGATGATGAATAAACATCGAACATCTAGTATATTCACTCCTGAGAGACACAGACTACATGTATGCTCATACTGAAAGTGGATTAGTGGTCCCAGGACATGCCCCAATGACATATTGCATGCTTGTATCAGGGACATATGATTAAAAATCGGAGTTGGCAAATGAGCTGAAAGTACTCCACTGTACCACTCATCTTCAGTTGACTTTCAGCTCATTTGCCAACTCCGATTTTTAATCATATGTCCCTGATACAAGCATGCAATATGTCATTGGGGCATGTCCTGGGACCACTAATCCACTTTCAGTATGAGCATACATGTAGTCTGTGTCTCTCAGGAGTGAATATACTAGATGTTCGATGTTTATTCATCATCTGATTGGCTGATCAATATACCAATGATCGGTGATGCTCTTGATGCTATTGATGGCATTGATGATATTGATGACATTGATTGGATCTTGCATGTGCCTCCAGTGCCTCCAGGGTCTCCCATCCTCTAATTTTAACATTCTGCAGCAATTAAACTAGCATGTAGAGGTGAAAATGACAGAATGTGGTCAGCCAGGAGAATATATATCTGTTACATTGTCATCTCATTCAGACTCTTCAAGTGATAACCTGTGGAGGCAGCGGAGGCCAGTTCTGCCATTTGCTCCAGCATCTGATTCATGTGGTGAGACATTTAACTAAAGGACCCTCATAATTATAAGGAAGACCTTCTACATCATGGACATGGTTTATGTGGCTGAACCCAAAAAAACGCTTTTGGTCACTGGCTGTGGAGGCCATGGAGGCCAGTTCTGCTATTGGTGCTAGCATCTGATCTATGTAGCCACCTGTCTCTCTTGAATACCCAGACATTCCAACTAGGACAAACAAGATCAGAAATATGGTTTATGTGGCTGAATCTACAATAACCGCTTTTGGTCCCCAGCCCTGGAGGCGGTGGAGGCTTGTTCTGTCACTGCTCCAGCATCCAATTGATATCCTGGGCTGTTGTTTTGACAAACGTCAAATTGATCTATTGAAGCAGAATTCAAGGGCCTGTGGGCTACCCAACACCTTTTTTTCTGCCCCTGGGAGGTTGTGGAGGCCATAAACCATCCCTTCAGCAACATCTCATTTTTGCGTGTGGGCACAGCTACCTCATGCTCAATCTCGAATTAATATATATACTGCTGCTCTATGCACCTGAGGAGTGCTCATGTGCTCAAATCCCAAATTTTGTGTGCCCAGTGGTCTGCCATTTGCAAGCAAGAAATACAAGCTTTTGTGAGCTAAGACATTGTATGAGGCTTTATACTGACTACTACAGCACATATAAACACTCGGGTCAATGCCTAGCCTACCATGCTGGCTGTGGATGAATGGCTGGGCAGAGTACCAATTAGGAAGGCGCCTCCAGGATGGCCTCCGATCAGGGGGGGTAGGGGGTGGTTTGATGGCCTCCGGAGGGGGCCTCGAAGCCATTTTACGTAATAATTGGAGGTCCCTGGGGTGGCATCATTCACAGGTATCTTCTGACCTGCTGCGCACTCTGCCTTACAATAAGAGCACAGCTGGGGCAGTACATCCTTTGTAGTCCCTGAAGTCTCACATATGACTTGTACTCGCTGTACCAATTCAATCAATTCAACACCGGGGCCCGAATTTTTGCCCAAAAAAAATCCCAAAGAAATCTGAAAAATCAAGAAAGAATTAAATCCAGGGTCTAATTTTTGGGGTGTGACATGTGACTGTTGATTTGATTAGATTGGTACAGTATACAGTACACTGAGTAAGGTATGCACAAAACATCTTCAACAAATGTCAGGTGATGTGATGATGGGTGACAGTCACCCATCTCTGCTTTTGTTTCAGTGGTGATTTTGATGTTTATTGAGTAACAAAGGTACATGGAACTATGTCCAAGGTGTCAGGGAAGACATGTCAGCGTGATGAGGTCATTGGTATTGATCCAGCGGTGTTCCGAGGGTTATCAGTCAGCAGTGTCATGCTTCTTATGTCATCTACTTGTATATAGATAGTTGCTGGGGATCTCTGATCCCCAGTCTTGTTATTGACTTGGCCCCTGGGCTCCACTCCTCTTACACAAGGACCAGAATGTGTATTGACATTACAAGAATGTGTAAGCAAAAAATTAGGGTGCTTTACAGATCAGCAAAATCACTAGTTCCAAAAATTGAGTCCCCAGGCATGATTGTGGATGGGATATGTCAATAATTTTAGGACTACATCTCCAAATCTTGATGTATTGTAAAATTGTTTGGAATCCAAGAATTAGATACAATATTACACACATTGGTCCTTGGGCATGACCTAAATCCCTACTAAAAGTGGTATACTGATCTACCCACTAAGGGCCCGATCGGGTGCACTGCCTGCATCAGGCAGATGAGCCAAATTTCAGGCAAATGCCTGATCTGAGCAGATCAGGCATTTGCCTGCCGTCAGGCAGATTAGAATAGGTGCTCGGTAGAAACGCCTAGATGTAGTCTGATGTCACGCTCCTAATTGAGACGTTTTCACGCTCTATGACGGACACGACAACCGCGCCTCCCGTTGAGACTCCCGTCCCTCCCCCACCTCCACCATCCAACAATGCGCCTCCCAAACAATAGTCCGGAAATCAAAGCTCTTCGGGGACTCTCTGGCTTTGGTTGGGACATTGACAACAAGACCATAACTGCAACGGAGGATGTATGGAACACGTATCTTGTTGTGCGTACATCCATGCCCCTCAGGTGTTCCGCAGCATTGACGGAACTGTTTTCAGGGTCACCCTAGCCACCGCTACTGGAAGACGCATCCATTTTCACTGTACAACAACGTTGCCGACCTCGTTGACGGAGTCATTGGCAGTATGTACTTATGTGACTATATGTGACCTAGCGCGTCAGGCAGTCGGGAGGATGTCCGAAGGGCTCCGATCAGCTTCGGTCTGCCTCGGAGAGGTCGTCAGGCAGATCAGATTGGCATCTGCCTGATGCAAGCAGTGCACCCGATCGGGCCCTAAGGTCATCAAAAAGAGGCAAAAGTCACAAAGCATCACATGATGTTTGTTGAAGATGTTTCACGCATACCTTAGAATACACAGTACTGTGCCCTGTATAAATAGTATAGCAATATTGTCTGAATGATCAGAATTCTCTTGCTCTCTTTGTTGCCTGACAGGTATCAGGCCCAGTGCAAAACTGAGTGAGATCACACTTGATCAAGTGCAAAAAATCCTGAGCTTCCAAGCTCAGTTGCATTCTGATTTGCATTTTGAGCAGGCACCTCGACCATACGTTTTTCTTTGCAAAGGCCTTGAAGCTCTTTTCAGCAACATACTAACCATTTATGGCTACAGAGCTCTCTTGAAAGATCTGGTCAGCTCCAAATTCAATAAGTAAGCCAACTACCAAATATCCCAGACCAAATTGCCCACCCAAACTCCCCTCTTCATGACATGTCCCACACCGGTGACCTCTTTGTGGATCTCATGCAAACAAACCTCAAAGTCTATCAAACAGTTGCACCCATTATCAAGAGTTTGGCGCAATGTATTGCACAGAGCAAAATGACCATCCAACATCTCTGGGATTCTGGCTTGATCAACACAGAGGCTGTCAGGGGATGCTGCACTCCTTGGGCACGTGACCATGCATGTGACCCACTACACCCTCTCTGCCGACCCATGCCTGCTCACCTGTTGATCACCCAGCCTCCTCCTCCTCCTCCAATCCTCATCTCCATCCATGCCAACATCTGCCCTCTTCCTCCTTCCCCCGGCCATCTCCCTCGAATCCCCGCAAGCGGTCTAGCCAAGCCCAATTCCTTGCACCAGGGAGTGCTACTGCTGTGCGCACTCCTCCCCTTTCACTTCGGCCTTCTCCCCATGGATGTGGTCTACTGCCGTACAGGCTCGTACCAGATGCCCTTGCGCTCATCTGCACC